GAATTGTGCAAAATAAAAACAACAAAATTATCACAGTAAACACATTGTAAACAATAATTGTCACATAACATAAATGAATGAATGACCTTTATTAAATATGTATATACAATAACTATTTATTTATGTTTGTTATTTATATGACAAGTTTAATGTTAAATACTTAAAATTCATAATCTTCAGTTAAAAATCAGTTTGTAGCCCGAATTTTGCATGACATCAAAAATAAAACTGTACAAATTATTTAAATACGTGTTGTGCCATTTTTTTCTTACTTTTATAAGATTGATTAGATATGTACTTTTGGTAATAATTTTTTTTTTTGTGTGCCTTAAATAAAAACGTTCTTTTATTTTTTTTATATTTCAGAAATAAATTGTGGAATTTAAATGTTTATGTAGGCGTGAGAATACATTAGGATACATGTTTTTTTTTTTTTGAAAACGGGTATGTGCAAATAAATGGCGCCATTTATATATCTAAGATCAACCGTTATTCTCGGTATTTAATTTTTAATTTCGACCCAACCCAGTAAAGGCATAATTTCTTTTACAAATTACATGACGTTTTTATATACATACATAATGCCAAAATATTTAGTAAATATGCATAAATGTTTAATCTTTAATTGAGAATGCTTTGAAATCAAATATAAACACTTGATATGGTTATGAAAATGGTCAGGTGACCCAACTTTAAAAATCGATGTCTTCCGAATTGGATTAAATTTGCACCAAGGTTAGTACTATGGGACACAAATTTTAAGCTCTATCAGTCAAGAACAGTCGGAGTCAGAGGGGATCAAAGTTTGACATTTTTGTCGTACAGGGTTTTATTTAAATAAGTGTAACTTTTCACCTATTGGTCCTAGCAAATGGGACCACTAAGTAATCACAAAACTCTTAAAGGCAATGGTCTAAGCTTTCTTTTGAGCAAAACAATACAACAAAAACGTCCATTTTAAAAAAATAAGGGAAAATTAAGTGCCATAGATATCCCACTCGCATCCCATTATGGGACTATAAAGCCCTTCAAGGAAATTGTATAAGCTTTCTTTTAAGCAAAAAATAGGGCCCATTTTGAAAAAAATTAACAAATTAAAAAAAAAATAGCTATCTGAAATCCTTTGGACAAGTTTTGCTAGGACTAATAGGTGAAAAGTTACACTCATTTGACTAAAACCCTGTATGACCAAAATGACCAACTTTGATCCCCTCTAAGTCGGGCAGTCTGACCTACTATCAAATAGTACTAATCTTAGTGCAAATTTCGCCAAAATCGATTTTTTTGAGTTGGGTCACTTGACATGAAATTGCCCATATATAAGCTTTCCTAAGCCTAAATCATAAATAACTGACAAGGGATAGCTATGACAAGGTTTTCTGTTGCGGTTTTTATAAGCTACAGTCAGAAAAAGAATAGATTAATCCGTACTCAAACGGTAAGTACGGTTTTCCTTAAACCAATTACAAAATACTTGATTCAATTACGGATCATTTAAATACAAAAATGCTAATTTTATCATTTTTTGGATCAAAGTCATCTTACAATGTGCTATTTTGAGAAATTTTAGATTCATTTAATCACAAATACATAATTGATTTCAGATAAAAATTAGGATTGATTTACGAATGTAAAAGATTGATTTCAGAATTCAGAACATTTCAGTAGTTAATTAATAATATACATACACATTGGCATTTAAACACATATAGTAAATATGAAGTTTCATCAATAAATTCATACATCCAAATTATGGTAGAACTACAATATAAAATGTGCGAATGCGAATTACCTGAACGTCCATAATTTACTTATGAGCACTAGTACCATGATGAAATAACACTTCTACTCTAGCCGCCATATAATGGAGCTTTTCACAAATAAATTTTCAAACATTTGGGAAAAAACTTAAAATTCAATATAAATGCTTTTTATAAACAATAAACCACAGTATAAAGATGCTCATAACTATTATACTTCACTCTATATTGTAGGGTATCATATGATCGGCGAATGAAAACAAGATGAAGAATACCCAGCAAAAAATAATTGATGTCATACTTTACAAACGACATCTTAATCACATCTAAAAATGTGATTGCATACTTTTCGCTTTTATAAACCAAACATATACTTACAAATTAAAACACAGTTAAAAATGAGAAAAGAGATGTAGAAAAGTCACTACAAACAACATATTCGAAGTACTTCAAATTTTGATGAAATTTACATAAGCGTTTCATTAAAAGAATGTGGTTTATTTTTGACATAAAATATCGGATTTTTACAGCTTCTAAAGATAAGATTAGATGTAGTTCAAAGTTGTCAGAAATGAACAACATCCCTCCAATGACACGCTAATGTAAAATTCATAGGTTTTTCACCTGAATTTGAAGCACTTCGGGTTACTAGTTGTGATGAAAATTCTACATCTTTTTCCACACTTTTTTTGCTGGGTATTTATAGGAGAGCTCATTTACGATATCTATACTAGACCCACATACATTCATATAATAATTCAATCCGCACTTGATATTTTCTCTATTAAAATGTATTTATTTACTGTAACTTGTTTATATGAAAATTTGTCACTTTTTTTAATTAAACATACAAATCTAACCCTTGCCCTCAAAAGTCAATTTTTAAATGATAATAGAAATATAACATTAATTGATAAGAATTTTTATATAGAAATAAAAATATTATACACACAAAAACACTAAATAGATTTCTTAAAGAATTTTAATCTGTACTATAACGGAAATTAAGAGAAAAAACTGTATAGATGTAGTTTAAGGTTTTAAATATAATAAGCATAATAGTAGTAAGTATTTTCAATTGGAATTCAAATATTAAATAAAAGCTGTGTATATCAAAGTTTCAATTAGATTTACACAAGAAAACTACAGATTCGTTGTAAGAATATTGTAATATTAAGACTTACGGTTGTGGAAATGCAGATATTACAAAAATTTCCCTATATTCACCTGACTATATGATACCCTAAACTACAAATTATTTTAAAAAAGTGTAAAAATTTGTATTAAGAACTTAAATTTTAAAAATCTTACTACTTTATTTAGTCGATTGTTTATTCTACCAATATTTCATACTTTTTTTATTTATTGAATTTCAACATTTCCGTATAAGAATTTAATTGATTGGAATCAATTCATTGATTGAAAATTAATTGTCAGAAACTTTATAATTGTTGTAATTTTAGATTAATAAAAAACAAACATTGTAAACTGTCGAACAAACGGAAATGTTTCATTTAAATGCTGTTTCTTTAGCCTAGAATATGGTAAAATAAATTATGTTTATATTGACATTTAAAATTTTTTTCAAAACAATAATTGTTAATTGAAAACTAATTAAGAAACAACAACTGCAATCATAATAAAAATGCATAAAAATATTAGGAATCAGTAAGTCGACTGTGAGACAGACAGCTACGTAATTTAAACAATAGAAACACAACGCAATCGGAAAATAAACACCTTAAAAACTGAATATATAATTCAAAATACACAAAGAAATGATACCAGTTTTAAATATTACAACAACGCTTTTAAAAACTTTTTTTTTTTTTTGTTTTACAACAACATTTAAAAAATTAGCATATTTTTAAATTATTTTCTTAAAAAATCAATCAAAATGAATGGCTATATTGATTATGCATTGCAAATTATAACAAAAAAATCACATACTCAAAGACGAACACATCTTTCACTTTAATTTAAATAAATAATATTTTTTATTTATTTATTAATTTTTATTTAAATAAAAATAGGAAACTACCTTTAAATTTCTTAATAAAAGAAATAAAAAACCGTTTTATTATTTTTTTTTTTTTTAATTTCACTTTTCAAGTAACGCTTTCAACGACAGTTTAAAAAACACTAAATTTTTAGCTTTAGCTGTCACTGATTTTATTATTTTTATTATGTCAAGCTCAGCTCTGCCATCATTTCAAACATGAAATTAAATAAAATCTATAAATTTCTGTTTCTCTTACTCTCTATCTCTTATTGTTCGTAAAAAAAGTACATACAAATCATTTACATACAATAACAACAACTATAAACATTTAAATCTTTTAAATCTTTTAAGCCGGCCTATATACAAAGCTTAATCTTACTTAAAAATTCTCTCTTTTTTCCAACAAAAGGGAGCATCATTTATAAGCTTTTGTTTTTTTATGAAAGAGTGCGTCTCCTGTTTTATTATTACTAGTGATAAGAACTGCAACTGATAGCAAATTTAATTGTATTTTTTCTTAGAAAGAAACAATTTTACGATTTTCGTATTGATTTTAAAAAAATGGAAACAAAAAGAATCTAAATAGATGTTGTTAATTTTTAAATTTTAATGTTTACGTTGTAGAATTCCTTCGAATTCTGTTAAGAGATAAAAAATTTCAAAGAATAATGGGCTTTTTCTTTAATAACAAAATAATATTATTTAAAAATTCCTATAGTAATATTAATAACTTGAACATTTATAAGAATTAATTGAAAATTAACGGAAAAATAATTTTTACTTAACACACACAAAAAAAGTTATTTCAATAGAATTAAAGCAAATAAAATAATATGTACTAAATACAAACATACCCTGCAGGAGATGGAACTAGTACCAAACTAGTATTTTACTATTACAAAAATCACCAGTACTAGTTCCCGTATACCATCTTAATGCTCAATCTAACATTTTGGGTAATTTCATATCACGTTTAAATTGAAAATAGATATTATTTTATGATTATTTATATTTTCATTTAAATTCGATTTTTTTGTCGAAAAACTGAAAGAAATAAAATCTCTTAAAAAAAGTTCAAATTTTACAACATTTTACTTCAAAAATCTAAAGATTGAAATTTTCAATTATTTGTCCAAGATTAATTGAACAACGATCAAGCAATTGTATACCGTTGTATGAATAACCATTATTTTTAATGGTGTAATATGAAATATGAAGCAGAAGAAAGTATTTGGTTAATTATTTTTATAAGAATTTTGATTTAATTATATATTTTTAATATTTTTCACTTAATATTTTACAATATATTTTCACATGAAATACTTAATCTAAAATATAAAAAAAAACTACACATTTAATAATCTGCTGCTGTATTAGACAAATAATCTCTGCGTCCAATATTCGATGCCTGTTTGCTTTGAATAGCTTCCAATTTAGGACATTCAGTAATACGATGACCAAGACCACCACAATAACTGCAACCATGTGAGTCTCCCAAATCCAAATATTGTTCCGATTCTGGACATAGTTCCAATAAGAAATCTGGTACCTTCTGTTTTGCTTCAATCAACAAATGTTTTAGATCCAGCAACACCGATTGATCGGTTGTTTTATTAACAAATGTTGTAGCTAAACCTTTAGTATTGGAACGACCAGTACGACCTATACGATGTACATAATTTTCTATATCTTCAGGCATATCGTAATTTATAACATGTTGGACATTGGAAAAATCCAAACCTTTAGAGGCTACATCGGTGGCAACTAAAACATCTTTTTTACCCTCTCTATAGGCTTCAACGGCTCGTGAACGTTCTTCTTGATCTTTGCCACCATGTATAGCAACTGCTTCCACACCCTTGAGCAGTAAATATTCATGTATGCAATCGACATCCTGTTTCTTTTCAGCAAATATTAATACGGGTGGCGCTGTCTTTTGTAAACACTCCAATAGATACACAACTTTAGCTTCTTGTTTGACATACTCCACTTCTTGTGTCACATTCATCGATGCAGCACCAGCCCGACCCACATTGATTGTTACTGGTTTTACTAAAGCTGAACGGGCAAAATTTTGAATTTTCTTAGGCATAGTAGCTGAGAAAAGCAATGTCTGTCTTTGTCCCTTGAAAAAGGAAAATATAGTGCGCACATCTTCTTCAAAGCCCATATCAATCATACGATCGGCTTCGTCCATGCAGAGATATCGACAAATATCTAGCGTAACGATTTTCTTCTCCAACATGTCCATTAAACGACCGGGTGTAGCAACCATTATGTGAACACCTTTAGCTATGACATCTAAGGCTTCTGAAACAGGAACTCCTCCAATTGCTAGACACGAACGTATTTCCGGCATACCACACTGCATTAAATGACGACTGTAGTGCTGATATAAAGAAAATCCAAAGCAAATTGTTTAAAATAATTCAAGTATATGAAATATGTAAGTGAAGACAAAAACATTTAGCAATATCAGCCAATCAAAATAGAGTTTTTCTGCAATAACACACAATAGGTTTATCCACTCTCTGAAGTTGTTATTTATGAAGTAATTAAGCTTATATTAATAACTTAAGGGATTTAAAACTTTTGAATTTGAAGTCTTTTGTATTTTCTTCAATGATTAATATAATATTGTGTTTTCAATTAAAAGATTTGTTGAAATAGTTTTGTCTCCTCCAAAATTCTATAATCAATTCTTTAAATAATTTAACTTTCACTTTCCGAATACATATCTGATACTAACGAAAAACTTTTTTGGTCCAATTTAAAATCGAAAAAAATCCAATTTAAAAAAATTATAAGGACAGATTTTTAGATTCACACTAAGGAAACAAAATTTACTTAAATGTAGCATTAATATTTATACTTGTTTTACTAAAAACATAAACGTACTTCTTAACTTAAAACTTTAATCATTTATTAGTTACTTTTAATTATATATCGACTAATTTCCTTAATATAATATTTTATTCCAGGAAAACTTTACTAGTGTTATCAACTAGTGCTAAATTATAGCTTTAAGACTTATGATATTTGTTCGGAATTTCGAACTGGCTCTATGGAATGTTTATTAATTCTAGAGAATCTTTCATATACACCTTATAGGACAGTTCTGAAATTACATACATAGTTCTTACTGTTTGCAGACGATTCCTACCATATATTGCTGTATTATGATCCAGTTCAATAAACTTAAGTATCAGATTTCGAATTCTTTAAATATGCTAATATAGCATTAAGAAAGGATCGAATCCCTACAAAGTCAAATTTTAACAAAATTATCAGGTTTTTCCAAAATTATAGGTGTTTCTACATTGTTTTCTTAATCAGATTCTTCTACATCAGATTCTTAAAAAAGCTGGACACTCTATTGTATATGTACGAATATAAAAAAACTTACCATTACAATATCATGTGTCTGCTTGGCCAACTCCCGTGAAGGACAAATAATCAAACCATATGGACCTTCATTTCTCACAAAAGGCAAACGATATTCCTGTTCCAGGGCAAACATAATTATGGGTAAAACAAAGACCAATGTCTTACCAGAACCGGTGAAAGCGATGCCAATTAAATCTCTCCCAGATAATACCGTAGGTATTCCCTGAATTTGTATAGGTGTGGGACGCTTAATACCCTTTGTGGCTAAACCATTTAAAATACCCTTATGTAATTTCATTTCTTTAAAACTACGTATGGGGGGAGCCACATCATCTCCCTCCACCAATATACGCAAACGTTTACGTATAGCGTTGCGTTTATGTTCCGACATATCCATTATGTAGCGCGGCGGCTTCCAGCTAGTCTTAATAGGATCTTCATATTGTATACCTTTAGCCAATTCAGAAACGGCCATAAGAGCTTTCTGCTGCTGAACACTTTCAAGAATCTTTTCTTCTTCCTTAAGTTGTTTTTCTACATCACTAATTTTTTTGGCCTCTGCTATTTTCTTCAGCTCTGTGTGTTGATCCAGCAAACTTATGTTGTATTTACGTCCCCATAATTCGGGATCAGTAGCATTTTGTGAATCTTCATCGTTTTCATTTTCACTCGAAGATTTTGGTTGTGCCGCTTCCGATGTTAGCTGTACGATGCGTCCCAATTTCATTAGTTGCTGTTTTTTACGTTCCTTGACCGGCACATAGGGCACATATTTGTCGTCATCTTCTGCTCCAGATGATTTATCATCATCTTCACGTCGATAGCGTTTAATAGGAGGTGCTGAAGAGGATGATTGTGACATTTTTTAAAACAAGATTTGTATTACAAATACTGATTAAACGTTTTGTTTACTTGTCACAGCTGCTTTGTTTTTTTTTCTCATTTAAGGTGAAAATTATAATATTGCCATATTTAAATAACAAGAAAATAAACAAAAGGTTTTATTTTGATTTTTGAAATTCAAGATATCCACCACACATGTTATTGGAAAATAAATTTTACTTTTAATATCTTATAGTCGTAATATTGGTATAGCCATCTTACTATCGCGAGCAGAGAAATTATTAAAGAAAATAATATTAATAATATTATTTAATACAAAATACAATGTCTTCCCAAAATTTTTGGAGATTTTTTTAATTTATTAAGATATGTATACATATATTATTTGGTTTATTTTTCGTATAGCAATTAAAATGTAGAAAATGTGAATATAAACAAAATAATTTTATTATTTTTTATTTATTTATTTATTCATTCATTCAAGTAATACAAAGCCTTTAAGGCCAATCTAACATATTACTTAGTAATTATCACCTAAGCATAAATAATTAAAATAAAATAAAATTATATATATGTACATATATATATATATATATATATATATACAATACAAAAATAAATAAATTTTAATCAGATTCTATCAAAATTTTAATGGTTCCCCAACCGTAATGTCAAAAAGCAACAAGAAGAAGTATATAAAAGCAGTAATTTTAAGAAAAAGAATAATGGCCCAAATTAATAGCGACAAAAACCTTCTTTTGCTTGTATTATTTTAAGGTTAAAAAAGCATTATTTGAGGTTAAAAAAAAAGCAGAAAGTTAAGTTAAGGTTAAAGAAAATTATAGTTACATTTCCAAGAAACAAATAACAGTTAATCTTACTTACCAATAATAATTTAATAAGTTTGCAGAAGATATAACAAGCATTATACATATCCAACATTTGTGAAAAAATTTAACAGTTTAAGACGGAAAACATTATTAGAGTGTGAAAAAATACGCAATTCAGCCGGTAAAAAATTCCAACACCGAGCAGTTCGTATCAAAAATGATCTTTCGTAAAATGAATTTGTAATTCTAGGTATTAAAATCTGCGGTCTTCTAATTGATCTACTAAAGGTAAATCTTTTAAACAAGGGTAACGGTCTTCCATTTTTAATAACAGTATGAAAAAAAGTAATACACCGAAGTTTTACAAAATTCTCAAAGCTGCATTTTAAAAATTGTTCAACATATTGTGAAATATGATGTCTCCGCTCAACATTGTAGACAAAACGAACTATCGTATTAACAATGCGGTTTATCCTAGATAAGCCAGTGCCATTAGCTCCTGCCACAACTTCAAGTCCATATAAGACTTGTGACATAAGAAGAGAATAAGCCAGTTTATATCTGATATGAAGAGGATAATGAATATTTATAGAAAAAATTTTCCGTAAAGTGTGCAAAACCTTTGAAACAGTATAACCTATATGCGAACTGAAATTAAGTTTACTATCCAAAATAAATCCTAGGAATTTAAGTTGATCCACAAACTCAATTTTAACACCATCAATAAAAACATCGAAGTTAACATTAAATCTATCCATTGGATTAAAGACAATAGCCTTAGTCTTCAAAGCGTTAATAGACAAATAGTTTCTTACAGACCAGCTAGAGATAGAACGAAGGCAATAATCTATATTAGTACACAAAACATCACTAAAATCACGACTGCAGCTAAACAGTAAAGCAACATCATCTGCATATAAAAACGTTTTGCATATAGTCGTATTAATGAGGCTAGGCAGATCATTAATGTACATATTAAACAATACAGGTCCCAGGACCGAACCTTGAGGAACACCTGATTTAACTCGAACTAAACCCGAATCAACACCATTAAGTCTTACATACTGGGATCTACCTTGAAGATAGGATAAAATAAGTTTACAAGCCGTCATAGAAAATCCAAATTCAAGTCTAAGTTTGTCAATCATCCTCCGAAAATTAATAGAATTAAAAGCCTTCGACAAGTCTAATGAAACAAGTACGCTAAAATGGTCATTATTAATATTTTCTCTGATAGAATCAGTTAGATCAAGAAGGAGAGAAGTGGTATTGTAACCCTGACGAAAAGCATATTGGGAGTGATAGAATTCTATTGTTGTAAAACTCAAAATTTGTTCCTTAATAAGATGTTCCATTACTTTTGAAAGTGCAGGAAGTATAGAAATAGGTCTAAGATCTTCAGGTCCAGTGATAACTTTCGATTTGGGAATCGGAACGACACGAGCCGTCTTCCAACCAGCTGGGAACTTAGAAGTCAACAAAATGGAGTTGAATAAGTGAATCAATAAATCAGATACATAAGGAAATATTAATTTAATGAACCGAATAGAAACGCCATCAGTCCCAGTAGAATTTGATCGCACTTTATTTAAAGCAATTAAAACTTCAGATTCATCAACACATCGAAATGACACCCCACTATCCGGAAATTGAATATTCTCTATAGAAAAACTTGTATCATCTACTCCATAGTTTACAAAATAATCATTAATAACATTAACATCCAAATTAGAAGACTGATCATCATCACCAAGACACCCAACATTCCTAAGCACTCTCCATATACCCGGTCCATCAAGATTACTAAATAATTTCGAAAAATATCGCCTTTTTTCAACACGAATAACTCTTTTTGCTTTATTGCGATGTTTGCAAAATATCTTCCAATTCAGAGCAGTTTTATTTTTCCTGTATGCTAGAAAAGCCAAGTCTCTTAAAGATTTTGCTAAAACAACTTTATTGGACGTCATCCAAACATCATTATCAAATTTGATTTTTTTTTTAACTACAGGCACAAAAAGCAATAATGATTGAAAAAGAGAGCATAAACTAGAGCATATTAAGTCCACATCACTGGAAGCATAAATTACAGATGTATCAAAATCAGACAAAAACCTTATAACACCATCCCAATCAATTCCATTATAATTAAGGTATTCAATATATTCATTTACATGACTTATATTAAAACCAAAACAGGCACATATTACAGCATGATGGGATAATGCAGGGTATTGATATTGATCCGAATATCGCAATTCCAAACTATCAGTAATCAACATATAATCAATTAGAGATGTAGAGCGATGAGAGATATCAAAGTGGGTTGGTTTGCAATTATGTATTATACTGAGCCCCAAACCTGAACATAGGGAACGAAAAATTACTGACTTCGAGGTGTCAAATAAATTATAATTAAAATCACCAACAATAATCACGTTGGAGTAAGTGGAAAGAAGCTGAAAATGTTCAGATTCGAAGGTATCAATGTCACCGTAAGGCAGATAAACCACACCAAACAGAATCTTCAAGTTGTTAAAATAAATTTCTAAAAACAATGACTCACAAACTCCAGGTAGAGTTGTTTTAAATACAATCTTAAATTTCAATGATTTAGACACATAAATGCCAACACCACCACCTCTTGAACCATGACGATCATTTCGGCAAAAGTTATAGCCCTGTACATTGACTGAGCGTGTTGAAATCTGCGGTTTAAGCCAAGTTTCTGAAATTGCAAACACATCTAAAAATGATCCATTCAAAAGATATTTAAATTCATCAAATTTTGATGTATAAGTTGAGGGTCTAATGCTTTGGCAGTTCAAATGTGCAACTTTAAATTGATTTAAATGAGGTTGTAAGATATTCTTCAGGTGAGTACCACTATTAATCAATGGACCAATATTATCATCAGAAAACATCAAAATAAGAAGCAAACATTACGTGGGGAAAACAAATAAAATTAAGTAAAAAGTGATAAAAATTTAACAATATTAAAATACTAAACATTATTCAAATATATTTACATTTACATTGGCTGACAGCTAGTCTAAAGTAAATAGGTATGAGATCAAAAAAATATTATATAACAAATGTAACAATTATGCAAATTAACTTTAACAATTAGGTTTTCCAAATAATTAAAACTGGCAATTCATATTAATTTCAATTATAAGTAATTAATTGTTATAATTATCATTATTCCAATTGCAGAATACGAACATAATCCTTTCATTTAATAATATTTAAATTTTCCTTCGCAAAGAAGAGAAAATAATAAAAAAAAGATGGCGTATATAATTATGGAAGAAATCTTTTGACATTTTTGTTTTCATGTAGCATGGAAAAATACCGTTGTATAACACTGGAGAAAGCGTTTTACAAAAATGAAATTTACTTGATAAATTAAAAAAAAAAATAGCACTAAAGAGATGTTTAAAATATTGGTATTTTATACAAAAGTTTCAAAATTATTACTTCAAGAAGACAATAATAACAATTATAATAATAACAAAGTGTAAAAATGAAAAAAAAAAAAAAAAAAATATGTATGCTTATAAGCATCAGTGAAAGAAATAAATTAATGTATAAATTAATGATCCACATTGGAATTTAGCAGCTCAGCACATTCTTTAATATTATAAATTACCTCATCATTATCAGAAAGTGTTAATTTTGCCTTAACTTTATCAGCATTTAGAATTTTATATTTAGTAATAACTTTAAGGCGAAGCAGTCGACGACATATCATATTAAGTTTGGCAGCAGCAGGAGAATGATGGTCATTGAGATACACCCGACGATCAATCTCACCACCCATTACATCACACACTTTCAGCGTACGCGTTTTGTAGTATTCCTTCATCACACAATCCCTCAAATGCACGCTATTAAACTTCACTAACAACGCTTTACGATTATGCATATAACAAACGTAATTTATATCACCACGGGTAACGTTAATATTATAATGGGAACAAATTTTGATGGCAGTAGCAACCAAATCATCCAGACCACCAGGCAACCCAACAACAACAACATCAGCGCGATTTAAACGTTTATGCAGCACATTATTCTCTTCTTCAAGAGCAGAAATTTTGGAGCTTGTGGATGCATCCACTTGTTTAATAAGCTTACTACAGTTTATAATGTCTGACTGCAGTTCCTTTCGATAAGAGGACATCTCAGATTTGAACTCATTTATGGCCTCAGTAAAAGCTCTTTTAAGGCTGTTCAAGTCATCTTCTTTACGTTGCATGTAGCTGTCAATTTTCTTATCGATACCAACAATTTCATCACGCAATCTCTTTTCCATTTCTTGCAAACCAGATGTATTATTGGAGCTACAGTTGTCGCAAAGATAAACAATGGACTTTACCTCCATAAGCCTTTTAAGTGTGTCTTCACTTATATTGACACACTTGGCATGGTACCATACATTGCAGGACTTGCAAAGGACACTTGTTTGTGTTTTATTA